AAGAACACCCTTAATCTGTGGAAAAACTAACCCTGTATGGTAAAGTAATAATCATTAAACAACTTGCACTGTCCCAACTAATTTATAACTTCATTAATATTGATACCCCAGAATGGGCAATAAAGGAGGTTGAAAGGATATTATATAACTATTTTTGGAAAGGTAAACAAGATAAAATCTCCAGAAGCAGTATAATTGGTGATTACAGTGAAGGTGGAATAAAAATGGTTAATGTTAGATGTCAGATTCAAGGTCTACAGGCCTCATGGGTCAGGAGATTCTGTAATGGACCTATGTCACCCTGGAAACTGATACCTAACTTTTACCTTAAAGATTATGGGGAAGATAATTTGATCTTTAAAATGAACTTTAAAATAAAGACCACTATCCGGTTACATCAATACTACCCAACTTCTATAAATCTGTTATCCTTGCTTGGCACCAAGCAAGAGATGGTTTTAAAAAGCAACCACAAACAGTAGAGGAAATTCTTAATGAAGTAATTTGGGGAAATCATAATATCATCTTAAAGAATAAAACTTTGTTCTATAAAAACTGGGTAAATGCAGGCCTAATACAGATAAAACATATTTTTCATGGTGGTAAATTCATATCAGCAAGGACTCTAATGGAGATATTAGATGACACTAAAAACTTCTTGGCTGAACAAAATAACCTTCTAAATGCAATACCAAAAGTATGGAAAACAAAATTAGCTCGGTATTTAAATCAACTAGATACAGCTGAATTTGAAACTCAATCAACACAGATTGGACTGCTTCATCACAAATCTGTACCCATAGAGAAAGCCTCATCGAAAACTATTTATTGTCACTTAAGTAAACAAATATTCAGAGAAAGAAAGAGCATTGATAACTGGGGGAGGTGCTAAATGTCTCTATTCTAAATAAAAATTCTGATATGGAAAAATTTAACTGTAGATATTAATGAAAATAAGCTTAGGGAATTCAACTTTAAACTTTTGCACCAAATTTTGCCATGTAAATCCAAACTGAACAAATGGAAGATTAAAGACCAGACAGGCGAAGTATACAGCCCTACTTGTAGAATATGTAATGTAGAGGAGACATATATGCACATGTTTATAGAATGTAAAAGGCTTGAGACTTTTTGGCAGAAAATAGACAGTGTACTATTTCAGAGGGGGATTAAGATAAAAGTTGTTAAGTCAATGGTTTTTCTGGGAATTTAATAATGGGTCAAAAGTTAATTACCTTGTAAACAAAATTGTGACCTTAGCAGAATTTGCAATTTTTAAATCATGGGTAAGATATAAAGATAATGAGTTGGAATTAATGAGAGATGACATCTTCAACATTTTCCTTTGGGACCTGCATGTATGGAATTTAATCGATGCAAAGTAAAACTGTAAAAATGATTATGTTTATTCTGAGTGTTTGTCAACCTGGTTCTGTTAGAAAACACCTTGATGTTTGCATGTGTACCCTATGTTTTCGTGTCTTTGCATAACAATTGTGGTATGTGATTCATAAAAGAAATAGATGTTTTCCCTCGGTAATAATAACTAATAATGGCAGTTATGGCCTATATAACAGTGCCAATAGTAATAATCAAAATGGTAAGGTTTCCAATACGAATCCAATGGAGAGAAACACAGTTAAAAACGTTCAAGTCTTCCCCAAATCATGTGGTGTTTAAAGCATCACCCATATAGACCTTAGGCCATACATGAGAGGAGTATTACTTGTACAATATGAACTTAAAGCAAATGCATGTACAGATGTACCTCACTTTACAAGTTTTGAACATAGACGATAAGGATTTGTCTTCATAGTGTAAAGTTTTTAGGAATTTATCTCTGTATTTGTACAATGCTTGTCCTATGTGTCACACTGTATGTATTTTTGTTCCTTTTGTCAATAAAGTAAAAAAAAAACACCACCTGATCGCTGTAATTAAAAAATCAAGCAAAATTAGGCGATATATATACTATCAAGGAGGCCAGGTTACAATAGATGATGCTGTTTTTGGGAAGGTTTCGTTTGTCCAACTTTGGTTCCGAGCGTCTCTTCTGTTTACTCTAAATAGATACACCACAGAATAGTAATGAGACCTTAAAAGTTTTAAGGGATTTCAAATATATTGTTACTAAGGAATACAAAATACTTAGGTTTATAATGTGTGATGTCTTCGGCTAATAAAATGTTGCCAAGCTTACAGTGCGAGAAAAAAAAGGACGAATTCTGAAATTAAGTAATGTGCTGTAGGCGTGCGTGTGACCCGTCCGGCATTTGTGTCCGAGACCAGGCTAGGCAAGAAATCCTTGCGAACTTCTAAATAACAGAGAATTTGCCCTAAAAGTCTGCAATGACCTGCAATAGAACGACATAATATTGAGGAATTCGCTATTTCAAAATCTTGTTTGGGAGATGTATGGAGCGGATGAAATTATTGTTTTAGTACAGGACCGGTATTTGCTAAACCTGGCCGGGTTTCCAGCATTTGTGTGCGAGGCTAGGCTAGGCAAGAAATCCTTGCGAACTTCTAAGTAACAGAGAATTTGCCCTAAAAGTCTGCGATAACCTGCAATAGAGCGACATAATGTTGAGGAATTCGCTATTTCAAAATCTTGTTTGGGAGATGTATGGAGCGGATGGTTTTAGTACAGTACAGTACAGGTCAGGTATTTGCAGACAGCACCTGGGCAAGCGCGCGGGGCCGTCTAGATCCATTTACCGTGCCGTCACGGGAGGTCATACCGTCGCCCAAGCAGGCGCGTGGGGCTTTGTCGATACCTTTCCCGCGGTACAGTACAAGAGGTCTCGCCGTAGGCACGCCCAGGTTGGCCCGTGGGGCCGTCTAAATCCATTTACCGTGCGGTCACGGGAGGTCATGCCGTCGGCACGCCCAAGCAGGCACGCGGCGCCATGTCGATACCTTTCCCGTGCAGTTACAAGAGGTCTCACTGTCGGCAGGCCCAAGCTAGCGCGTGGGGCCGTGTAGATCCCTTTACCGTACAGTCACGAGAGGTCATGCCGGTCGGACTGGAGCATAGGGACCGTGTCGGGCTGTTCACCGTGCAGTCAAAAGGGGCCCCATATTTGACCCATACGACACCCAATTTACGTACATGTAGCTCAATATAAGCTCAAATATTCATTTTTAAGCTAACGTTACGCACACTTAAATGCATCTTATCTAAAACAATTTAAGGTATACTGCTAAAGTCATACTTATCTAGGTCTTCATGTTTAAAACGTAGTCAAGTACACATGTGCAGTACACTGCTGCAAATCAGTGCTTTATCTTTACTGCAACATTAAGCGACCTTAAAGATCAAGTAAGGATAAGTTTATGTTTAAGTAGACTTTACGTTGTTCCTTCAGAGAGTGTAAAGATTGCCTGCCGATTGTGGCATTTACGATGGCTTAAGTGTGACTTAAATAATGCTTAATTATTTTGAAATATGTAAGCCTTATTTACGAACACCATTAAGCATGCTTAAATATCATTTTTCGTGCAGTGAAAAGAGCGGATGTTACGTCACTACAGATCAAATGTTTACTAATAGGAAAATAGCCCCTCCCGTTATTTAATGGATCAAACATGTCTTTTGTTGTTTTTCGTTGAAATACAGGATGTCTGGTCTGTAAAGGTTCGTATGTACACGTAGGTGAGGACCATATACAGATCACAGCTTGGCTGCATGAGGGTACCAGTGTTACACCCGACTGGCATTGACATTAACAAAATATTAACAAATAGACTTTCTCTCTGTATATGTACGCAAATGAAGTAATGTGTTGAAAATTCGTAATATGTGTTTCACATTGTTAGTCCCGATTTGGCCTCTTCTTGATTGAGTCCATCCCGTTCAGTTTAACACTTTGATCAGTTACTCCTGATCTTGGCTATCATGAGTAATCTTTTTTTTTTAAATTCACGGGTCAGGTTTGATTAATAACCCTCAAACACCCGAACGGGGTCCATTTGGACCCCAGACGTATATTTTATGTGCGATTTGAATGTTTTTAATTCTAAAAAAATTCCTCCCGTGGCTTTGTCAGTAAACCTCTTCTACAAGTTCTCCTAAATTTTTTTGACATCGGCACAAATTTGTAAAAATAACAATGGAAGTCTGATGTAAGACCGTCTGGAGTCCAAACGGACCCCAGACATGTATTTGCACTTTCCTACACACGGGATTGTTCGGATGTCCTCAATATGTCTTCAAGGAAGCATTATTGCTTTGATATTATGCATTTTGCCAAGTTACCTCCACCTTAGGAATTACTTCATCAGGTTTTCAGAGGTTTGACAATTTTACAATCATATGAGGTCAAAGGTCAACCCCATGTTCATGCCTGCAGGCCTCAACCTATTTTTGCATAATTATGATAATGATCGGGAATTTCTTAACACTTAATCATGCCAAAATAAACATCTTAATATGTTTAACCAATATATGTGCAAAGGTCACGGAAAGAATACAAAGAGGAATATAGAATTGAAAGAAACCAAATGGGGTCCATTTGGACCCCGTTCGGGCATTAACGTCACAACTTGAAATAGCTCGGGTGTTTGAGGGTTAAATCGTAAACAAACTTAGATCACTCCCTCGGAGTTCCACTCTTTAATGTTATATAAATAGCCGCCTCTAAATTAGATAGAGCTTATCTTTATCTATCATCACAAAATAGAACAGATGTAACTGTAGACTGAAATGAACCTAGTTTTAGGTGCTTCGTCCTTTCCTGGACGATCGTTTTTGTGCATCACCTGTTGTGACAAAAATCTCTTAATAAGATGCCAAGCTTGCGTGCTGAGCTTTGTTCTCCTCTTTATTCTAAAACTGTTACGCGTTTCCTGACTCGGTCGTGTTCATTTTCACAACAAAAGAGCGGATGTTACGTCACTACGGATCAAGTGTTTACTAATAGGAAAATAGCCCCTCCCGTTATTTAATGGATCAAACATGTCTTTTGTTGTTTTTCGTTGAAATACAGGATGTCTGGTCTGTAAAGGCTCGTATGTACACGTAGGTGAGGACCATATACATATCACAGCTTGGCTGCATGAGGGTACCAGTGTTACACCCGACTGGCTTTGACATTAACAAAATATTAGCAAATAGACCTTCTCTTTGTATATGTACGCAAATAGGAAGTAGCCCCTCCCGTTGTTTCATGGATCAAACATGTCTTTTGTTGTTTTTCGTTGAAATACAGGATGTCTGGTCTGTGAAGGTATATATAATGTGCTTAATCCCCACAAACCATAGTGTTTCTCCACCCATTTTCTTACTACCACGGCAAAAGGGTGTAATTGCGCATTCTTTGGGAACATGGCCACCATCGTCGGCTGGATAAGTGAGTCCGTCCGGGAGATTTTGACGATCTCTGGGCTGAATCTGCAGTCTTTTCTTGTCTTCTGTACGGTCTTCATTCTGGCGTGTTTCCTCTTGAAGCGCCGCAGAAACCTACCCCCCTACCCCGCAGGACGCGTGCCTGTTCTCGGGCACCTCCTCGCCTTGGGCCGAGCGCCTCACCTCAAGCTGACGGCGTGGGGGCGGCAGTACGGGGACGTCTTCACCGTCAGGATGGGGATGGAAGATGTGGTGGTTCTGAACGGCTACACCGCCGTCAAGGACGCGCTCGTGGACAGGTCCGAGCTGTTCGCCTCCAGGCCGCCAATGTACCTGCTTGATGCGATGGTTGATTTTGGAAAAGGTAAACCTGTAATTCACTGTGTGCTTTTCTTCACATAAGTCGAATGATAAAACTTTAAAAGTAATCTACATGTAAGTCTAAGGCCATGTAGATTTGATTATATGGATGCATCGATGACATCCTCCGGGATCCCCAAAATTGATGCGCGCATGCGAATAAAAAAGTTTTGCAAAAAAAAAAGTTGTTTTCATTATGAAATCTACGTGGTCATGAGGGTTGAACAAATGGGACAGAATATGGTTTGGCGAATAATCTAGTCTTCAAGTTCATTTCTTTACAATTTCGTCTTTTTTCGTTTGATTTTGGCATTCTACGACATTGGTATGTTTTTTTTTTGTAACTTACGGTATATTTTTGCTCATTCTGCAACTGTTTTGTACGATTTACAGAATGGTTGAAAACTTTTTTTTGAAACGGCCGAAAATTCATGCGCGCGCGGATGTAATCCATATAATCAAATCAAAATGGCCTAACTATAAAATAAATGAAAAGAAACTATAAAAACTTACAACAGAAACCTAGGGCATTCTTATAACGGTCGTGAATATACTTCTTATATTCTTCTGTCAATCTTGTGACAGAAAGGGTCAATGTTGTCTGGTGTCCTGTGAGCAGCATCATTGAAGATGTGATATGTATGGTAGTGAATTACATGTTAAAGATATGTTATTTGTTCCTGTAGACATAATTACTGCGCGCTGGGGACCTGAGTTCAGACAGAGAAAGAAGTTTGCCACCGCCGTCATGAGAAAACTGGGCATGAAGATCGGAACTGGCAGCATTGAGGAGAAAATCCGAGAGGAGGCGAGCTGTCTCCGCAACAGGGTAAGACAAATCTGAGGATGAACCATGTAAAATCCTGAACTTTTCCGCTCTAATATTTGTGCGATAGTACTGGGCCGTTCCCATGGGCAGTATGTTGATGGGCTTTATCCTCAATCATATTATACATTTATATTTTTTTCTCTTCCGGCCTATTTCGTGTACTGTGTACTGAGTCAATGATGATACCTGTACAGTAATGAGGAATCATTTATTCTAACATGTGATATGAAAAGTCAGAATAGAACTGACTACCCTGGGAGCCATCCTCGTTGGCCGTCGGGGAGAGTTAGTAAACGCCACGGGCCCTGGTTAGCCCGTCCCCGGCACACGCCCTCCCCGCCCTACGCTGGGCACCACATGCGGAAACCCTCTAGGCCGCGCGCTAAAACCCTATGCGGATACATACCTTCGTGAGACCGCGCTGAGCGGGCAGGGGGGTTGGCCTATTCTCAACGCTGTAGCGTGTGCAATTATCAACCAAATTCTATG